ATTGACAAATGTTGATATTTTAAAGACAGAATGAGAGAGCTTACTCATTGTGAGTACCAATGGAAGGTTGTAGATTGCTGTATCTAAGACAGGTACCTGCATCACTCTAGGTAAAAGTAATATTGAGTTATTGAAGGACGAAATGATTCTGGATTCTCATCCATTGCAATTATATGGATGAAATTTTGGGTGCATTTCAAAGGCTGATATTTCAAAAACTGATTGAAGGAACGGGTAGATTTCAAGCACCAATAAAAGCTTGAAGACTGCTGTATTCTAGGTACAAGTATCGATGAGTTATGAAGGGAGCAAATGATTCCAGATTCTCATCTATCGAGTGGGCCATAGACTCAAATCTGCAATCACTTTGAAGGCTTATATTTTAAAGAGAGATGGAGAGAGCAGTCTGATTCCAAGTGCCTAAATGGGGATGCCCATTTGGTGTCTGCAGAAATCAGGGCAATGTTTAAGGCCATTTGTTCTTGCCAAGGTCCGTGTGGGTAAATGTCACTCATTCAAACTCTTCTACTCAGAATATTGATTGTGGCATCATTCAAAACTGGACTTAACTGAGATTACCTCTAGTTTAGTAATAAGTGAACAGTGTTTGCAGCAGTGTATTTAATCAGCTGGACCAGTTTTTCAAAACCTTACCACTGAGTGCAAGCATGAAACCTTTTGCTTAATTTTCTCAACTATAATGTTCTTGCAATATGAGTACGACACTTCCCACTATGTGACGACATGGGCCAGGGCTAGCAGAGTTAATTTCAGTTTTTCTCTCCTACCATTCAAAGGCAGTTGAGGGGAATTATATATGTATATGTAGGTCAAGATTAGGGGTTTGGGCTAGGTTAGGGTTTCCCCAACCTCCATGGAGCCCTCTAGAGGACACACACGGCGCTGGTTAGGTGAAGGGGAAAAGAGCTGGCTAACGGCTTACAAAGGTCATCAGGCTTTACAGAGTGGCATCTTTAAGTTTCCTTTTTCTTTAGGTTTCACTTGAATGAGGTTCGAACACGGTAAGTGTTTTATTTCTTCAGCTTGAGGCTTTATCTTTTCTTAGTTTTATTTCTTCAGCTTGAGGCTTTATCTTTTAGGTTTCCAGGTTGGAACGTCAGGATTTTTAATGAATGCACTGTGCACGCAGAGAGGGATCACTGCAGCAATTTCTCCTAATCTATAACATCACAGTCATTTCACTCTTTCTCATCTTGTTTGTTTTTGTTTCTCCTAAAATAGCTCAATGCCTCTCATTTTCACGTGGCAAACATCCAGCAGAGACAAGACAGGAAGCGAGAAAACTTCCTATCCAACAGCAAATAAGCCACGTGACCGATCTCCCCGGGGGCCTCCAGCCTCTCGGGTCGATGGAAGGTAAACGTGCATGATGGTTTAACAAATATGTTTTCTATTTTGATTTCCAGTGGGTCACAATAATTACTGATGTTAAGTTTAGGTGTTGCGGCTAGGGAAGGATGCCCTCACTCTCCAGGGAAAGCTCCAGAATGACACACACGGCGCTGGCTGGTTAGGAGGAGGGGAAAAGTCCCGGCTAACGACTTACGTAGCTTAGCGTTAGCCAGACTGGTGCACGGTCCTGTGGTGTGCCTCCAGAGTCCCCAGAAAGTGAAAAGCACCTCCAAACTCCACATTTCACCTCATAACAGCCACAAAAGTGCATTACCTCTGCGCTGGTTCCTTCTTCAAAACAAACAAAAGTCAAACTATTTACACATCTTTCAGTTGTTCTTTTCCAAAAGTTTCATTACAGGGTTAAGATATAGGGTAAACGCTCGGGCTAGCGACACAAATAACTTTTGATAGGAAGGTGCAGCGTTGGACTCGGGGTGGAATTTCCAGCGGGGGGGTTAGGATAAGGGAAAAAGAGCTGGCTAACGACTTACAAAGCTCTGCGTTAGCCAGTCTGCTGCACTGTCCTGTGAGTCTACAGAAAGTGAAAAGCACCTCCAAACTCCACATTTCACATAATACAGACACAAAAATGTATTACCTCAGCTGGTTCAAGAAATTGGACTCCACTTTTTCTTTTTTTTTCTTTTTTTTAAGCTTTAAACATTTTACTTAGAAAGGCACAAACTATGATTTCCTGGTAAATTATTTTGATGTAAGAAATAAAATCCGAAAGACATTTTGTTTTCTCCAAGTAAACAATACGACATAATTTTTCAGCCATAACTCAGATATAAACGTTGAATCTCCATAGATCAGTCTTTATTAAGTTGTTTTCTTAATTGTTAAGGTAAGGGGGTTAGGAGGAGGGGAAAAGTCCCGGCTAACGACTTACGTAGCTTTGCGTTAGCCAGACTGGTGCACGGGCCTGTGGTGTGCTTCCAGAGTCCCCAGAAAGTGAAAAGCACTATTTACACATCTTTCAGTTGTTCTTTTCCAAAAGTTTCATTACAGGGTTAAGATATAGGGTAAACGCTACCATCACTCGGGCTAGCGACACAAATAACTTTTGATAGGAAGGTGCAGCGTTGGACTCGGGGTGGAATTTCCAGCGGGGGGTTAGGATAAGGGAAAAAGAGCTGGCTAACGACTTACAAAGCTCTGCGTTAGCCAGTCTGCTGCACTGTCCTGTGAGTCTACAGAAAGTGAAAAGCACCTCCAAACTCCACATTTCACATAATACAGACACAAAAATGTATTACCTCAGCTGGTTCAAGAAATTGGACTCCACTTTTTCTTTTTTTTTCTTTTTTTTAAGCTTTAAACATTTTACTTAGAAAGGCACAAACTATGATTTCCTGGTAAATTATTTTGATGTAAGAAATAAAATCCGAAAGACATTTTGTTTTCTCCAAGTAAACAATACGACATAATTTTTCAGCCATAACTCAGATATAAACGTTGAATCTCCATAGATCAGTCTTTATTAAGTTGTAGGGGGAGGAGGGGAAAAGTCCCGGCTAACGACTTACGTAGCTTTGCGTTAGCCAGACTGGTGCACGGTCCTGTGGTGTGCCTCCAGAGTCCCCAGAAAGTGAAAAGCACCTCCAAACTCCACATTTCACCTTATAACAGCCACAAAAAGTCGCATCAAACTGAAGTGCTGGTTAACTGTGAAATAGCACAGTCTGCGGCTGGGAGGCAAAACTGGAAACAAAGTGGGTTTTTAATTTTTCTTTTGTCTTTAGGCATTTCCTTGTTATAATGTCCCTGTGTGTACCGTTCCTGTGTTTTCATGTCACTTGTCCTATTTTTATCACCCAGAAATAATTCCTGCTCTCTGCTGCATATAAAAAGTGCATTACCTTTGCATTTGTTCAAAAAATTGGACTTCACGAATCCTTTTTAACAAAAAAAAATACTTGCTTGTTGTACAGCCATCTTTACTTCTGTAAAAACATACATAAGTAGTAATCGATAAGTAGTCGGACGAACATGTCTTGTAATACAATAAGTCCTTCACGTGATAGGACACATAGTTTTTGTAAATCTCTCTCAAGCCATCCCTAGTTAGTAACGTTCATTCCTACCACAATGTTTTGATTAGTGTTGACTAAGTTCAGTTGCATCATCACAACCTAAGATATTTATATTTTAACTAACTGGCGGTTTTGGTGTGAAACGAAAGTTAAGATTTTAGCAGTTAAGAGTTAATTCAAAGTTACCGTGTTCAGCTGGTGCAAAAGCCTGCAAAAGCATTAATCTAAACTACAAATGCAAGAAACGGGCGTGGCATCACACAAATTAGACTGTACTATTGTAAAAAAGAATTGAATCTGTGAACCGCAGCTTGTAAAGGCATGCTATGTATTTGCCTTTCCTTTCTACAAGTTGTCTTTAACAGAGCATCTTTTTCAGATAATGGCTGACAAAAGTGGAGTGGAAGATGGCACCGACTTCAGTCCAGTAAGTATGCCTTAAATAAATTTGTAAATCTGTATGTTTACACCATGCATAAATTATTGACATGTCATTGGATATTTTCCATGAAATATTGGGCTCTCTTGTGACTAAATAATGTGGACAACTGTGTTGCCAAATAAGTCTTTTTGATATTTCCCATAGTGCACTCTGAGTATTTTAATTTAAATACTTTGTGCCTAATAGGATGAGATGAAAGTAGCTTTTACACTTTTCCTTTACAGTTTCAGCACAGCAACCACGCCAGGATTTCATATATTACAAAATATTACATGATTAAAATTATTAACACCATGACTAAAGACAGTTTTGTCATTCAACCTAATTATATAGCTCTCAGCATTGTTGTTTAAATAATTCCATACTGATATTTCAATGAATAGTGTGCGTTGAAATATCAGTGTGGAATTATGTCAAACAGGGCAGTGAATGCTATATCACTGGCTGGAATTTTGGAGTTGGGGGAATCTCAGTGTATTGTTTATTGTATATTTGTGAATTGTGATGCATCAGTCAGGTTTAACAACTGTTGTATTGTGCCATTTTGCAGGAAAGTGACCTCTGGGTCACCTCTGTTGAGGAACACCACCTGCCTGTGCCTCCTCCTCATCCTCCTCCTCCTGAATTACCTGAGGAAGATGACAACGTAATGTATAGTCTATACTAAAAATCAATTAAATTCACATCCTTATATGCAGTTTTTATTTACTTTTTTTTCTCCAGTACTTTGCAGATGATGAAGATGAGCCCATGGAAGAAGGAGACTGATTTTTTATAGTTCAATGAAGGCATGGATTTGTTCATAAAGGAAGTTTTAAATTCTACATTCAGCAGTCAGACAAATATGACCTCTTTAGTTATAACATTAACATTGAATTGAAATCCTTTCTGTATCTGCTTGTTGTTTTATTTAATTGTAGTGCCAATGGCCTGATTAATTTTAAAAGCAATATATTTATATAGTTTAAATAAGGCATACATTTTTATTATATTATATATAATATTTTATATATTTTTGTTTAAATAAAGAAAATAATCTACTCCTCTCCTTGTATCTTTGTATAAGATGATATGTGTATGATATATTTAATCTGTAAATAGTTTTGATTTTGAATGACGTTTCAGGCAGAAACCCTCTACCAGCAGTCACACAAATATGGCCTCTTTAGTGCATCCACACAAATATTTTCAGTATTCTGCTTATAGTTTTAATTTATTTGTAGTGCCAATTACATGGTTAATTGTAAAAAAAAAAAAAAAGAAATAAACAACCCTCACACAGGCAGCCACAGATAGACTGGTAACCACAGACAGGACAGGGCCTTGGTGGGCCATTTTGAGAAGCCAGCTTTGGAAGGACTATTGCATTAGCGTTTAGGACAGGACAGTTCAAGCACTGCAAGTCGAGTGTCTTTACAGGAAGGTCAGTGAAGTAACAGAATATATAACCACAGATACAGGACCAAAAATGTTTGGATAAAGTGTGTGAGGATCGAGGAAGACTTGAGATATTAAACAGCAATTGAATAAGCGTTAAGCAGCACGGAAATAGTCTGCTGTCGCATCGGAATCCAGGAGAACTCCATAGATTAAGGGATTTCGAGTCAGTGAGGGTCGAGCGAGGGGTGGTGGGTGCAGGGGGGCGCCAACCCCAAAAACTAAAGAATATTAGCTTTTGAGGATTAGTGCTCAAAAATAATGAAAGCTGGGTTTAGGCAACACTGTGCTAGAACAGGGGTAGGGTTTATATATATATATATATATATATATCCCCCTATTCTGACAAGAGTGACCTTTGTCTTATTCTAACCCCAGTTTGTGTCCATTTCCCTCAGATGTAGTGTAGTAGATGGCATGAAAAGGACAACACAATGACTAGTGTTATTTTGTTCTAAGATGTTCATTTGGCTCCATCTAGTGACCAAATGTGTATTCTGCAGCATGTGAGCTAAATTCTGCACTAAAAAAGTCACAATGTTAGCAATGATAAACAATATCACAATGTTAGCAATGATAAACAATATCCAATTAAAATAAAAAAAGACAGAAGGAAGGTGTTAAATTCAAAGTATTGAACATTTATTAAATTGAACATGTTCAACATATTTGATTAGTCACACCACAATGAAAGGAATATAAAAACATATTAACATGAAACAAGAAAACATACACATAAAACCAAAAAGATATTCCATAAACAAAATTTAAAAAATCACTCTGCAGTGTCCATTGAGTAGCTAGTGGACCCAGGAACACGAGCTGGTGGTGGCTCTGAGGTCTCCGCCGTACTGGAGGTGCTGTCCTCTGACTCTTCAGCGGCTTCTTTTTTCCAGGCTTGTTGTTTTTTGCCTTTTCCCATCTTCTGAAAGACCAATTAGTGAAAAAATGGTAACAGCATATTAGTGGCACTGCTCGAATGAGGAGCAGATCTGCTCTGGTGAGGGAAGCTTCTCTGTTAAAGCATTCCATAATAGCTATGAGCTGCCACCCAGTCTGACAATAACCATTAAACAAAGTAGTAGAAGTATTAGTAGTGGTAGTAAACTTCAAACTCACCAGATTGCACCTCTCCCTGCTGGTGGGTCCCGGTCTGCTTTGTAAGGGTGGACAGCTCTCTTATCAGCACCCTGTCCAGGGACATTATCTGTGCTGCAGACAGACGGACCTGAGGAAGAAATACAGTCATACATTGAGGACCTTGAAGACATAACACACTATACATTCAAAGACAATCTGTAATAAAAAGAATGTCATTCAAAGACAAATCTCTTCAGTTTTCATCGACTAAAATGAATTCATTATAAATGACAACTATTCGACATACATTTTTTTGGCGCCATTAAAACACTAATGAAAATCCCTGCCAAGATTAACACTGTTTAAATGCAGTCCCTCACAAGTCCCACCCCGATAAATAAGTAGTAGCTGTATTTAGAGAACAGTAAACGGTCAGGCAGTACAGGTATTGCATCAAGTTCTGGCGAACTGAGGCAGGCAGTGATTAGGGGTTCCAATAGCTAATATAAACCTGAAATAAACCCACTGGCTTGGAGGGAGAAACAGACGACGTTTGTTTTCTCACGAAAGCTCAAAGCGACGAGCTTCTTAATCACTGTCGCTCTTTGCATGAGCCTCTTTCCGCTGGATTGCAGAGGAACGCTTATCTTCTCCATGTTGCTGGACACAAGTACAAAATTAACAAGGCCGTTGTTTAAAGAGTGGCATTTACAACACATATGAGAAATGGAATAAAAAATTATTATATTATGTTGGAGTACCTGGGGCTCAGTCCAGCGATCTTCTCCATGTTGGATGAAGGTGCTGACACTGAGATGGTGTGACCCCGGGGTCGGTGGCCTCCGCTGGGGAGATGGCTCCAGGTGGCTGCACTGCTGATGGAAACTCTAATCTCATCCTTGCTTCTCCACTTTGAGATGACACTACACCTGGGCTTTCACCATCTTGACTCTGACCTGCCAGTCCATTAAAGTCCCCTGTGTGCTTCCCTCCACCTTCTCTTTCTCAAAACGAGGCTGCTGCTGCTGAGGCTTGCTGTCTGAAGGTGTTTTGGGCCTCGATGCGTCTCCTGGCAGTCTGGGACTCTATACCGGCCTTAGAAAAAGCTTCAGGTAAGGTTTGGAGCTCCGGAGAGGAACTGGACTTGTTAAGTCCGTGACCCTGGGACTGAGTGTGGGTCTGGAAGGGAAGCTCGAGCCCCTGGCTACCTGGTGTGGAGGGTCCCAGAGCGGGCTGGTCAATGGGAATCACTCCCTCGCTCACCTCCTCCAGCGTCGACTTTTCATCATCCTGACTGGAGGTGCAGTACGACTGGAAGACAAAAAAGTAGAAGACTATTTTACAGATAAAACATGCCGAACCACAGAACGGTTAGTAATGTGCAGAATAAAAACACTGGTGGGCGTGTGATTATGCAGAAACAAGGGTGGGGAAACCCACTTAATAGGAGTGTGGATGATTAACAACAAGCGGTGGAGATGCTTGTGAATACTATTTTCATCTTTTCACAGCTTGTATGTGGTTAGAGACAGTACGGCCACAACAAGCCATGTGAATGAAAATGTATGTGTTGTCTTTATTACTTAGCATGCTGTAGTACACGTGGTAGTTTGTGTGTGGAGAAAAACAAAAATACAAAGAGTGCACCAACTACCTACCCTGCTGAGCGTTCCAGGCGGCGGGGTCTTTGAATGAAGATGGGATCTGAGGTCATTGGCTCAGACTCTTCACTCTCTGGCCAATCAGACGGGGTGTGTGCTGTGGTGACCCCTGACCTCCTCTCCAGCACCACCACCAGAGTCTACAGCAGGACACATCAACAACCAAGTGGGTTATAGGTGGATACATGCACACAAAAACTCAATCTCTGATCAACATTTGATTCTTACTGTGTACTTGAATGTAGATTTTACAAACAAACACAAAGGCAGTCATGCAAACACATGAACATGACCTTCAGTCAATTCAACCTACAAACACTGACATCAGAGCCAGACAGACACTCACTCCCTCTCTCCTTCTCTTCTCGGAGGTGGGCAGGGAACAGCCACTGCCTCTGTGTTGGGGGAAAAGTTAGGGGAAGGGTAAACTGGACTGATCATCGGCCATCAGGTCGACTTTGTTCCGTGGTTCAGACAGGACGAGCACGGCTTTGTTAACCGGAGGAAGCTTCCTGTCACGTCAAAAGAAAACTTGGTTGCACCTGCTGAAAAGGCTCATGCGCATTGGTGTCTACTGAGGACTACTCGGAGGTGGGCAGGGAACAGCCACTGTCTCTGTGTGGGGAAAAAAGTTAGGGGTAGGGGTGGGGTTCTTATTTTTCCTTCAAATATCTTAAAGCTAAAAGGGAAAACCCATCAGGGTGCTAGTAGTATAATAAACTCTCTGCCGTCTCCACTGAGCCGCCCGCTGTCCTGTGAGGGACAACCAGCAGTAGGTGGTCACCCGGCAACATGAGGCTGTGGGGGTGGTGGTGAGGATCCACCAGCTGCAGTAATTTCCCTGGCAGCCTCACCACACGGAGCTGCTTCCTCACTATCTTGACTCTTTGTTGCCAGGCTTTTTCATTGGCTGGTTCCTTTCTTTCCAGCTTCTGAAAGACACATTAGAGAAAACCTACAAGGTTAGACTTACACGAGGAATCTGTGTCGGTGACTCAGTGCTTTAGACAAATAATGGCAACAATAGTAGCATTTTAGTGCCACTGCTGGACCGAGGAGCAGATCTGCTCTGGTGAGAGAAGTTTCTCTGTAAAAGTTTTCAAGATTAGTCCTCTCTCCCACCTCCATCACTCAATCACCCCCCCCCCCCCTGGATTAATTTTCCCAGGCCTGTTAGGAAGGCAGAGTAGCGGTTCGAACCATACTCATTTGATAGAATGGCAACCTTATTGTTAACCTGGAGGAAGTGGAGAGGATGAAGGTATAAAGTCAGAGAGTGTATGAATGAGTTGACCGTAATATTCAATCATATTCTCACCTGACCGGCTCCTGCAAACACCACTCCGATCTTATGGGTGTCACAAGGAGGCATCTGGTCACTCACCTGCCACAGCGATTAAACGCAGTGAACAACACTTTATACGACGCACTGGAGCAGATTCCAGGTCAGTCAGAGAGGTCAACTAACCTCAGTTTTGGGCAGCAGCCGCGGCTTGTTGGCTTTATCCCCAAAGAAAGGAGAGTGGTACAGCTGGAGGAAGACAAAGCTAGAGGAGACAAAAAGTAGTAGACCGAGAGAAAAACCTGAAATAAACCCACTGGCTTGGAGGGAGAAAGAGACGAACGAGCGACGAGCTTCTTAATCACTGTCGCTCTTGTCTCCACTTTGCAGGAGTCTCTTTCCGCTGGATGGCAGAGGAATGGCGATGTTCTCCATGTTGCTGGACACAAGCACAAAATTAACAAGGCTGTTGTTTATAAAGTGGCATTTACAACACATATGAGAGATGGAATAACATTTTTTTTATTATGTTCGAGTACCTGGGGCTCAGTCCAGCGATCTTCTCCGTGTTACTGGGTCTGGGTCGACTGTGGTCCCTCTCCCTCCTGGAGGAGGCGGCTGACACTGAGATGGTGTGACCCCGGGGTCGGTGGCCTCCTCTGGGGGAGATGGCTCCAGGTGGTGGCACTGCTGATGGAAACTCTAATCTCATCCTTGCTCCTCCACTTTGAGATGACACTACACCTGGGCTTTTGCTCAGGGTCGCCCCCAGAAAATTTTCCCTGGGGTGGCTGAAAATCCTGGGGTGGCACACTAAACCAAAAGCCATAACTGAATTTCAGGAATTCTATTATGCAGTATATAGAGTTGAATACTACATAAAAATGTGAGTTAAGGCATGACACAATGAATTACTTTGGTTTCTTATTTTAACGTTAAAACTGTCTAATGTCCGTAGACTAAAACCAGTTCAGTTAACATTCCATAAAAATCCTGTTTGATGTATTATCTGTTTGTGTTAGGCAATTAATTGTTCTTTAAATAGGTAAGTTGACCCTTTCCTTAAAAAGATAAATACAGCTTTTATTTGTAGGAGTGCACTGACGGGGAGGAACAAAACATTTACTGGGAACAAGCCTACTAACAAGATTACAGACATCATGGAGCATAAATATTTTTTCTTTAAATTCATGCTGAAATATACGATATTTGTAAACATACTATGTTTGGTGTTATTCTTGTTACAAACAACTAGGATAGTTATTCTTGAAATATCCAACTTTTTAACAACCAATTTCAGCAGTGTCATAAAACATAGATACCAGTAAAACTAGCATACTCTCTCTTGCTTCTGTGTTTTTTAACATGTCAACAAACAGCATGGCTCCATTATAGGACGTAGCTTTCACTCACCAGAGCTGAGGCCCCACGCGAGGAGCAAGGCAGCTCGGCGGTGTTTCCTCTGGCCAAACTTCTGGCTGACTGAAGTTTCTCAGACAGCCCGCCGACTCGTCTTGGCCCCGCAGTGTTTGGTGTGCTGCTCAGTGGAGCGCCTGTTGGCGCAGCCCAGTTTGACAGCATCGTCCAGGTGCCTCCCGCTGTTGTCACGTTGTGCAATCGTCTTAGAAAGATGAAGATGAAGACATGACGCTAACAGCCGGTCACAAGCGGCGCTGTCCGGGGCTCCGGTGTTCCTCCGACGTTAGCTTGCTGTTAGCGATGGTGCTAACCTGTTGCTATCTGCAGACTATCAGCTCTCACACACAGTACAACAAACTTATAAACCAGCCGGGCTGCTGACTGTCTCTGTACATTCATTAAATGAGACTTTTCTTTCTTCTGCCGCTGGTCGCTGCCTCCACAAGAAACACTAGTGATGTGCCTCGAGGCTTCGAAGCGCGTGTTCAGTGATGCGGGATGATTTTTGTGAAGCGCGTATGGAGGCTTGTGTTGATTAGTATGTGGTGACGTTCGAAGCCTCGCGAGCCGGCCGTACTGACCGATTCAGGAAATGGTTTGCGGGTTTGGCGTGCGATTCGAAAGGAGCAGCAAAATGCAATGGACCCTCATCAACATTTTATGTACTTCTGAACTTGAAATTTAACACAATTAGATTTTTATCAACAGCTCATTTTAAATGACTGAAAAAGTTTATCAACTTATGTCTGAGACACACCTTATTAAAAAGCTAATCAGTCATGAATTGGCATTACAAACATCATTTATTAATTCATTCAATTCAAAGCTTCACACACCAAAGCCGTGTTGCCATTATAATCACTCTGCCTGTTTTACATTTATTGTCCACTGGATGGCACACTAGAGCAAATCAAGCACCGTGAAGCTTCGGCCCATGAGTGAACCAACTGGATGGAAAGCTTTAGTGTTGAAGCTTCATCTCGCCATAACTAGAAAACACACACAATCGGAACAACACCGGTGCCCGTCACCTGTCAAAATTATAGAAACATGACAGGCATCTAGATGGACAAATCGGGGGCCTCTCCTAAAATAAACATCATAGTCTGTCACAGCTCAGGGTCAGCTGTTACCATCTTAAAGTGCTCTTCCCCCTCCTTTACCATATATTCTGACCACACCATGTAGTGCTGCAGGCCCACATGCTCTTCTATGAATTCAATTCAATTCAAATTAGCTTTATTGGCATGAATGTGTAACAAGAATATTGCCAAAGCATCATACATACAACATAAGAACAATCAACCATTTCATTAAACAAGTAATTAAAGCGTAAAGTAATCAAATCATATGTGTGTTTGTGTTAAAAAAAATTAGAAATATTTAAAATTAAAATTAAATAAATAAATAAAACAGTAAGTGTGTGTGTGTGTTAAAAAATATTAAAAATAAATGAATAAACAAAACAGTAAGCGTGTGTGTTGTGTGTGTGTTAAATAAATATATTAAAAATAAATAAACATACACAACAGTAAGCGTGTGTGTGTTAAAAAATATATGTATTAAAAATAAAATAAATAAATAAACAGTAAGTGTGTGTTAAAAAATTTCAATTAAATAAATAAATAGAACAGTAAGCGTGTGTGTGTTAAAAAAATAAAAATATATTAAAATTAAAATAAATGATAAAACAGTAAGCATGCGTATGTGTTAAAAAATTAAAACATAAAAATAAAATAAATAAATTTCTATCACTGGGAACTGGATGGGAGACCCAGACAGTGCCAGGAAAGGGTGCTCTGAAGGAGGGAACTTGTTTATCCACTGAGGTTGGTGGTAGGCACTGAAAGAAATGCCACCAGACAAAACAGACTTGTCGAATTCCACACCGACATTATCCCAAAATGGACCAAACAGGTTTCCATCCTTCATAGGACAGGATTTCTTGTCTGCACTCCGCTGTGCAGAAGTCTCAAAGCAGTATGCTTTCCTCTGTCCCGTGGGCCAGTACTTGGGAGCCAGCTCCTCCCTGAAGTCCTCAAAACTGACCACACGGTGGTAGGCAGACAAGGCCTCCAGCTGGAAGAACTCCCTGTAGGGAACATGAACATTGGTGTAAGGTTGTGTGTGGTGGCGATACACTATCCAGGGAGGGACTGCCAGGGTCTGCTGGTTTCCAAAACGACCCATGCACGGGCAGTACAACATGTAGCCGTTCTCATCCCACTTCAAATCTTCAGCAAAAGTCCGACAAGTGTGCAGCAGAAGTGATGAAAGTAAACATGTCACTGTGAGAGTATAGCATGCTCGTCTTTTCACCGCAATTGTGTTTCATTTCTTAGGGTTAGGGAAGGGTTAGGGGGAAAAAAGAAACGTTCATGCAAAGAAACTTTTGAAAAGGCAAAGTCACAAATGCAGCAACATGATCTCAACAAGAACATAATTTAAATAAAGAGGTAAGGGGGTAATAGCCACGATTATTATGTGATGATCCTCAATCGTGGGTGCCAGCTAAATGAAACTTGTTTCGCCGGGAGGGTTTTCTGAGTCTCTGATCAGACTGGACACAGTCCCCAGTCTGGAGCCAGGGGCGGGGAACCAGTCGCATTGGCAAGGACAGAGCCGTGGCGGACATTGTAAAGCCGGCTTTGCAAGGTCATCTAGCGAAACATGGGCCAGGGTTGGCAGAGTCAATTTCAGTTGGACTTAACTGAGATTACCTCTAGTTTAGAACTAAGTCAACAGTGAGTCGACAGCAGTGTATTTAATCAGCTGGACCAGTTGACTGGTTTTTCAAAACCTTACCACTGAGTGCAAGCATGAAACCTTTTGCTTAATTTTCTCAACTACATATGTTCTTGTAATATGAGTACGACACTCCCCACTATGTGACGACATGGGCCAGGGTTAGCAGAGTTAATTTCAGTTTTTCTGTCCTACCGTTCAAAGGCAGTTGAGGGGAATTATATATGTATATGTAGGTTAAGGTTAGGGGTTTGGGCTAGGTTAGGGTGTCCCCAACCTCCATGGAGCCCTCTAGAGGACACACACGGCGCTGGCTGGTTAGGGTTAGGGTTAGGGGTTAGGGGTTAGGGAAGGGGACTGTCTCCCTCCGAAAAGGGAAGGAGGGTGCACGGTCCATCCAGCCCTCGGACCTCCCGTAACCCCGGTCCCAAGGAGGTTCACGGGCCCGCTGACGGCGTCTCCCGTAGCGGACCTCTGTCCATCCATACATCTTAGAATGTTTAAAAACTAACTCCAAAAAAAACTAACTCCAAAACACGACAAGAGAGAGTCTCTTTAAAATTAATATATATTTATTTTCAAAAAACCAAAAAAGAACTATTTACAATAAACAAAAAGTGTGCAAAATAAATGACAACGTTTCGACCCGCAAAGGGTCTTCTTCAGGTCTTTTTTAGCACACTGAACTCTCTCCTGAGCTGTTGCTTGTGAGAGGTTTGAAGGAGAAATGAATTCTCCCTCTCCCCCCTCCCTTCCACACTCACTCATGTGCCGGCTCCGCCCCCTTGTGGCCTCAAATTTCGTGTCCGGTCTTTTCCCTCAGTAAACAGTGTTTTTAAGACAATTATAAACACAAAAAACTCTAAAATGATTTGAAACTTGTAATCCTGCTGGTGAGTATCCCTTTCATTATGTTTTAACAATTTTTAGTGGTTAAAGTCCATGTTAGATAATAGTATAAATGTTTCGTGTCCTTGAAATCCAGTGCTGTTTTTAAGCATAAAAGGTAAGCCTTAAATTAATACCAAGTAAGTATAAAGGTAAGTATAAAAGTTGCAGTTAAAAGTAGGAAAAAGGTAAGTATTGCAATTCCAACTGAGGTTAGGACTTTTTATCTTAAAAAATAAATGTAATATTCTAAAAAATAAGTGTAAAGAATTAATTGCCAGCAATGTGTGAGGTTAGGGTTAGAATAACCGATAGGTTAGGAGTCAGGTAAGTATTGATGTTGCAGAGAAAAAAAGGTAAGTATCAGGGATTAAAATGGCAAATATGGGGTTAAGGTTAAGGTTAGGATAACCGATAGGTTAGGGTTCAAAGAATAGTAGCTGTAAACAGTGAAGGTAAGTAATAGGTATATAACAGGTAAGTAATCTGACATTAATTATATTTAACATTTAACCCAAATGGTTTCATAGTCCCCAATAAAAAAATCCACTGCCTTTCTCTCTTTTTCTCTCCAAATCTGACCAAGTAATATTCCTCTGCAATCCAGCAATTCTCATAGACAATAAACCATGTTCTAAAAAGTGTTTCACCAGAAGTGTGTCCATTTCTTTCTTATTTCTGATGTTGTATCTGTGCTGAACCATACGTGTAGACAAAGAATTTTTGGTTTCACCCACATACTGAACATGACACATTGTGCAAAAAATAACATAAACACAATTCTTTGACCTAGGGCTAAATCCCTGTGAAATCCTGTGAATAGTCTTATTCTTATTATTCCTAACAAATTTTAATCTAGCAAACTGTGATTCCAACATCAATAATTTATCTCTGTTTAAGGATGGCAACTTTGCCTGAACCAGGATATCTCTTAGATTCCTATTTCTCCTATAGGCCGAAATCACCCTGGAGCCAGCCATTATGTTGCTCTGTCCTAATATGTCCTCAAAGTTGGATTTGAGTTTATTATTTAAGACCTTTCCAACCGAGGAGAACGTAGTTATCAGAGGAATTGAACTCCCATCCTCTCTCTCTTTCCTATTTTGGAAGGTCTTAAGGCAATTCCTCAAGAAGGACCTGGAGTACCTTCTCTTCCGTAAGAATTTAAATAAAATTCCAACTGCTTCCCAAAATCTGCATCCCTGGTGCAGATCCGCTTGAATCGAAGAATTTGTGACTTGACAATGCCCTTAAAAGTGTGCTTAGGATGGAAACTGTCTTTATGAAGCAGTGCATGGGTATCTGTGCTTTTAAAAAACACTTTTATATCCAATTTGGAATTACTGGTAAAATTTGGACCTTTAAAAACAGTAGTATCCAAAAAGTCAATTGACTGTTTGTTCAACTCTGTCTTCAGTTGAATGGAAGGATCATGGGAATTCAATACCTGTACAAACTGATCAAATTCCTGTTTAGATCCCACCCAAATTCCCCAAATATCGTCTAAATAGCGAAAATAATATGCTGGCTTCTTATCTCCTTTTAAAAGGGCTTGACTCTCCCAATCAGCCATAAAATGTTGGCATAAGCCGGGGCAAACTTCTTGCCCATAGCCGTCCCTTTAATCTGCAAATAGTAGTTTCCATTAAACATAAAATCATTTCTGGTTAGATTAATGACTAAAAGCTCCAAGAGCTCCTCATCTGGTCGTTTTGGATCTGGGTATTTCTGAAAGATATTTTTTACACACTGGATGCCAGCTTCAATAGGGATGTTTGTATACAGATTGTTAACATCCATAGAAAAGAAGAAAAACTCAGATGGGATCCTCAAACTATGTACAATTTCCACAAAATGATAAGTGTCTCTCACATAGGCAGGGTGTTTTGTTGATAATGGGTTCAAGTAATAATCCAGATATTCGGCTGTAAAATAAGTCTCGCTCCCACAATCAGAGACAATTGGTCTCCCCGGGGGACTTCAAATGGGACAGTCCACTTTTCAGGATCCTTATGGATCTTAGGCAATATGTAAAAGAGCCTTTCCCGAGGTTCTGCCTCTCCAATTAAATATCGTTAGGGTTAGGAGGAGGGGAAAAGTACTGGCTAACGACTTACGTAGCTTAGCGTTAGCCAGACTGGTGCACGGTCCTGTGATGTGCCTTCAGAGTCCCCAGAAAGTGAAAAACACCTCCCAACTCCACATTTCACCTTATAAAAGCCACAAAGGTGCATTACCTCTGCGCTGGTTCAAAAAATTGGACTCCACGGGTCCTGTAGCTGTTGATTCATTTATCTTTAATTCAGGCCGACTTGGTCCTGCTTCACTCTGCCTTGTTGCAACGTTTCGGAGGGCGGCTTGTCCTTCATCAGGCATGACAGAGTGGTCCCTTTAAATGTCCTTTTCCTTAGGTTTCCCTTTAATTTGGTTCAAAAACGGTAAGTATTTTCCTTTTTTCTAGTTTGAGGTAAGTGTTTTCTTGTTGTTCTCTTCAGCTTGAGGCCATTGATCAAAATAATATCTGCTAATTTTGCAATCTGCACCCTATTTGGGTGTCTGACGATTAAAATCCAATTCACTTCTTAGCCTTCTCCTGCTTGAGAATTTTAAATTTCCAGTGGGTCACAATAATCACTGATGTTAAGTTTAGGTGTTGCAGCTAGGTAAGGATGTCCTCACTCACCAGGGAAAGCTCCAGAATGACACACACGGCACTGGCTGGTTAGGAGGAGGGGAAAAGTACTGGCTAACGACTTACGTAGCTTAGCGTTAGCCAGACTGGTGCACGGTCCTGTGATGTGCCTTCAGAGTCCCCAGAAAGTGAAAAACACCTCCCAACTCCACATTTCACCTTATAAAAGCCACAAAGGTGCATTACCTCTGCGCTGGTTCAAAAAATTGGACTCCACGGGTCCTGTAGCTGTTGATTCATTTATCTTTAATTCAGGCCGACTTGGTCCTGCTTCACTCTGCCTTGTTGCAACGTTTCGGAGGGCGGCTTGTCCTTCATCAGGCATGACAGAGTGGTCCCTTTAAATGTCCTTTTCCTTAGGTTTCCCTTTAATTTGGTTCAAAAACGGTAAGTATTTTCCTTTTTTCTAGTTTGAGGTAAGTGTTTTCTTGTTGTTCTCTTCAGCTTGAGGCCATTGATCAAAATATATCTGCTAATTTTGCAATCTGCACCCTATTTGGGTGTCTGACGATTAAAATCCAATTCACTTCTTAGCCTTCTCCTGCTTGAGAATTTTAAATTTCCAGTGGGTCACAATAATCACTGATGTTAAGTTTAGGTGTTGCAGCTAGGTAAGGATGTCCTCACTCACCAGGGAAAGCTCCAGAATGACACACACGGCACTGGCTGGTTAGGAGGAGGGGAAAAGTACTGGCTAACGACTTACGTAGCTTAGCGTTAGCCAGACTGGTGCACGGTCCTGTGATGTGCCTTCAGAGTCCCCAGAAAGTGAAAAACACCTCCCAACTCCACATTTCACCTTATAAAAGCCACAAAGGTGCATTACCTCTGCGCTGGTTCAAAAAATTGGACTCCACGGGTCCTGTAGCTGTTGATTCATTTATCTTTAATTCAGGCCGACTTGGTCCTGCTTCACTCTGCCTTGTTGCAACGTTTCGGAGGGCGGCTTGTCCTTCATCAGGCATGACAGAGTGGTCCCTTTAAATGTCCTTTCCTTAGGTTTCCCTTTAATTTGGTTCAAAAACGGTAAGTATTTTCCTTTTTTCTAGTTTGAGGTAAGTGTTTTCTTGTTGTTCTCTTCAGCTTGAGGCCATTGATCAAATAATATCTGCTAATTTTGCAATCTGCACCCTATTTGGGTGTCTGACGATTAAAATCCAATTCACTTCTTAGCCTTCTCCTGCTTGAGAATTTTAAATTTCCAGTGGGTCACAATAATCACTGATGTTAAGTTTAGGTGTTGCAGCTAGGTAAGGATGTCCTCACTCACCAGGGAAAGCTCCAGAATGACACACACGGCACTGGCTGGTTAGGAGGAGGGGAAAAGTACTGGCTAACGACTTACAAAGCTCTGCGTTAGCCAGTCTGGTGCACTGTCCTGTGATGCGCCTCCAGAGACCCCAGAAAGTGAAAAACACCTCCCAACTCCACATTTCACCTTATAAAAGCCACAAAGGTGCATTACCTCTGCGCTAGGGTTAGGGTTAGGGTTAGGGTTAGGGATAGAAAACTGAACCTGTCCCCCACGGCGGGAGACAGGAGGTGCACGGTCCGTCCCTCGGATGCCACCCCCCCCACGGTTCCAGGAGGCCTGGTACTGAGGTCGCTCACGAAAATCTCGTGGCTGATTATCAAAGAGGGTGCGATTACGGGAGTACCCGTGCTTCTTCCCGTAGTGCACCACTGTCCATCCTGCATCCTGAGCAGAGCCCATGATCCAAACTTGTTCGTGTATACCACGAGAAGGAAAACAAAAATAATAATACTAATAAAATTGAAATAATAAGTAGGTATCGTATAATCAATAGGAAATATAGTTATTTAAAACTGAAGTGTGAAATAACTGTTTTGTTTTTTATGTGTTTTTTTTAACACTTTAATTAACTTTTAATTTTTTAATAATTATTAGTAATTAATTGCAATGTGCCTATTCGCGCGACGTTTCGACCCAGGTGGGTCTTCTTCAGGCGTAGGCACAGAAAAGAGAGAAGGACAAACTGTAACTGGCTTGCAGACTAGCAGAGAGATGTTGCCTCTTTGAAGGTCAGAGCAGTAATGAGCCAGGAGGCCCCCTGAGCTCTATTTATACTCTGTGTCGACTTTAACCCCATAAATGCCAGTGAATAGTTTTAATACTGTATTTAAATGAATTCAATTGCTATGTATAATATGAAGTTATGTAGTTTTTACCTCTCTCTTCTATCCTTAATCAGCTATAGGAAAATATGTTTTTATCCATTATTTGATGATATTTATTCGTTTTTAAAGGTGTTTCCCATTGAACTTTGAATAATAAGTATGACAAACTGTTAATAGTTACTCCTAGAGCTTAGCTTTATACACCCCATGTTTCAATACATTTTTAATAATATTAGTTTGTTTTTAATGGTATTAATTAATTTGAATGATTCTTCATACTGTGTATAATTATGTAGCTGTGTACTTTTTAAAAAAATTGAAGTTTTATATGCCCCTGAGCTGTAGTTTTTAAATTCCGAATGATATTTATACAATTTTATCCTCTGTCAATGATGTTTATATGTTTTTAAATGCAATTTATAGATACTTGTTTGTTCATATATGCAGTTATATTGATATTGTTTTTGATATTTATTGGTTTTTAAATGCCATCATATTTATTTATTTATTTATTTGTCCAGGTTAGGTTTAGGCAAGAGGACAGAGGTGGTTAAGGTTAGGATAGTGGCTGGGGAGGGGATAAAATTAATAATAATAATCATACTCATGCAGTGGTAAGTAGATACCTGGATTATAGGCCAATTATTGGGTTTCTCTGACATTCGTATTCTGACATGCCTCGAAAAGTAAATGTAGGATTCCCCCATCATTAATTATATTTTTTGTTTAGTCCAGATGGTTGTATCGTACTTAGTAAATGGATCCATTTCCTTTCCATTTTTTTTCTTTCAGCGTCTGTCCAGGAAGAATTACTTTGAATCCCCGAAACTCTGAGATTTGGTAAGCCATGTGTGATAAAATGATTAACTACAGGGGTATGAATCTCTTTCCTATTTTTAATATTGTATCTGTGTTGCATCATCCGAGTTGAGATTGAATTTTTTGTCTCTCCAATGTACTGCATTCCACATTTACAACAGAAGATCAGATAGACACAATTGGAGGTACTCGGGCTAAATTTTTGTGAAATTTTGAAGATAGTTTTGTTGACCCTATTCCGAATGTACGTTAAACCGTGAAAATACTGTGGCTTTGGCCTGGCTTTGGCTTGTTGTGTGGGCTTGAGCCTGGCGTTGACCAATAGGTCCTTGAGAGTGTTGTTTCTCCGATAAGCCGAGATTATTTGATGGTTCTGTAGAACACCCAAGTCTTCGATGATTGATCTGAAATTGGCCTTAAATTTGTTGTTCAATGCTGCACTGACTGATGAGAAAGAAGTGATTAGAGGAATAATTTCTTTTTGTTTTGCTTGTTTACGAACGTGGAATGACTTGCGGCAGTGTCTCAGAAAAGACCTGGAGTAGCCCCTTTTCCGTAACACTGTAAACAGAATGTTGACTGCTTCCCGAAAATCATTTTCCTGCGTACATATCCGGTGAAACCGCAATAACTGTGATTTTACGATGCCCTTAAAGGTATGTTTGGGATGAAAACTTGTTTTAAACAATAAAGCATGTGTATCGGTGCTTTTGAAGTACACTTTGATGTCCAATTTTTGATCCTGTGTAAACGACGGTCCTTTGTACACTGTGGTATCCAGAAAATCAATAGATTGCTCGCCAATTACGTGCTTCAGCTTAATGGAAGGGTCATGTGTGTTCAAAATGTTTAGAAATTGATCAAAATCTTCCCTCGAATCAGTCCAGATTCCCCAAATATCATCCAAATATCTCAGGAACTTCAGAGGCTTCTTTGGACATTTAGACAGAGCTTCTTCCTCCCAGTTGGCCATAAAAATATTTGCATAGGCTGGGGCAAATCGTTTACCCATTGCTGTGCCTTTTATTTGCAAATAATATTCCCCGTTAAATTCAAAGTCGTTTCGCGTCAAATTGATCTCCAGTAATTGCAACAATTCCTCGTCCGGTCTATTGTCGTCTGGATATTTTTGGAACACTTTATTCACCGCCGATAACCCTGCTCTGGTGTCAATATTTGTGTACAAGCTGTCAATGTCAATTGTGAAAAATAAGGAGCTTGGAGGGATTTTTAGGTTTTTGACGATCTCAGTGAAATGGTAAGTATCTTTGACATATGATGCATGTTTGACTGACAAGGGGTTCAGATAGTAATCAATATATTCCGCTGTCCTATATGTTTCGCTACTACAGTCCGAGACAATGGGCCTACCCGGAGGCACCTCAAACGGTATACTCCATTTTTCCGGTTCTTTGTGGATCTTGGGTAAAATGTAGAACCTCCGTTCTCTCAATTGTGCGTCTCCTTTTAAATATTGTTTTTGCTTGTTGTTGATAAATCCTTTGCTTTTTAAAGTCTCCAATATGTCATGCACCAGTGGGATGGATTCTAAATAGATTGGTCTTTCCAATTTCTTGTAATAATTTTTATCCGTTAACTGGCGATGCACCTCTGTGATATATTGTTCCCTCCCTAAAATTACTACTGAGCTCCCTTTGTCAGCAGGTTTAATTACAATCTGTTTGTTATTCATCAATTCCCTGAGTGCTTTCACCTCGTCTTGTGATAAATTTTGTTTTTCCTGATGAAACCTGAAAAACTGTTTGAAATCCTTGTTGTCTTTTTGAATTAATAAATGTATTTCTGGTAGCAATTTGTGCGGTGGTGGTGTCCAGTTTGATGGAGGTCGAAATGGCAGTGGTGTGTCTTTTTTTGTGTGTCTGAAATAAGTTGCCAATTTTATTTTCCTGTGATAGGTTTGGATGTCCAGTTCTAATTGTTTCTTTTGGTTTTTAGTCAAGTCTATAGTTGGAACGAAGGTTAAGCCTCTGTTCAACAGCTCCAGCTGTGCTTTGGTGAGGTTAAAATTCTTGGCCAAGACTACAACATTCTGAGATGCGAGGGGTTGTGACCCCTTATCCCCTTCCTGTAGCAGACTTACGGGGCTTTGAAGTTTAAACAACCACCCCAGTGCTCCAGCATTGCTCGGGCAGTTTCCTTTGTCCAGTGTACGTGGTCTTTTTCGGTATGGAACTCAAAGGTAGGAAGAGGGGGAAGGAACGGCATATTTCTGGTAATATGCCCGTTGATTGTTTGTAAAGTCACCCGTTCCTCCCTCTTCAGCAACGCCGAATAGTTTATCAGTGGGATCCACACCTCTGCATATGGAAACTGTTTTTTGGCTGTTCTCAGTGCAGCTTGCATCTGTTTGATCGCCGTCTCCTTTGCCTTTTGTCCCCGACAGTTAATGCCAAACGAGAGCACAACTTTCTCCACTATCACGTGTTTGGATGCCTTGGAAAGAACAGACTGTGCATGGCGGAAGTTTGCACCTGGGTAACTCTCAATCTGCAGGTCCGGGATCTTATACATCGGCATCCTTGACAGGTTGGAGTCCCCAATTATGAGGTACTTTTTGCACACACACAGCCCCCATTCAGACATCTTGCGCTCTGTACTAAGTGTCTTTTCACCTTGTACATGTGTGGTTGTGGAGTGGATGTGTTGTCAATTGGTGGATCAGTTTGGGTGGGACATTGTCGTCCACCTGAGACCTGCGTGACCCGTTTTCTGTGTGATGGATCTCCGCTGTTGTTTCTTCCACAACGCCGAGAAGCGGACTGTCATCCTGTAACACACAAGTATTTTGTCTCCCTGACCTTAGTCGGGGTCTCTGCTGCTTGGGAGAATCTCGCTGAGGGGACTGGGAGCGAGACCTGTCTCTCGGTCTTCCCCTCCCGTTACTACTGGTTGTGGAGTCTCTGTCCCTTGTTCTGTGTGTGTTGGACGTGGAGCTTGTGGTTGTTGTGTAGTTGCATGCTGTGGTGGATCTGTAGTTGTGTGTTGTGGTTGTTGTAGTCTTCTGTTGTGGTGCTTGTGTCTCTACAGCTGACTCCCTGCCAGGAGCCATGGAAGCCATGATCAGTGCTTCTGCATGGTCAATGACTTCCTGCCTTATGCGGGGCAGGTTTCTGTGGGCCCATTTTACGGCCACCCCAAAGGCTGTCTTCCAATCTGGAGTCAGATCGTTAGAGGTCTGCTACCAAGGACTCGAGGCCAGCTTTGTAGTGGTCTTCCAAAATGACCAGTGTGTTATAGCCCCAGTTTTTAGCATTCCCCACTATCAAGTCCACCGTGCCAGAGGTGGGGGACGCCGGCTTAATCATAGTGGCCAAATTCTCCACCATCCGAGAGATCATTTTTGGTTCAGCTTTACCTGGTTCGGGAGTGATGTTTTGCAGGTGGTGAACCATTTTAATCACTTTGTGGAGTTTACGCACCAGCTGACCAAATTTTGGGTCAGCCGGAGTGAACGGCTGGTTCCTGTTCAATGGAAACTCCCTCAGTTGCTGCTTTGGTCGCTGGTAGGGTCTCTGACCCCGAGTTGGAAATTCCCATTCCCAAAAGCCCGGCTTTGGGTGTTCTGACGGGTCACAGCCGCATAGGACGGGACTGGGGACCAAGGTACCTCCCAGAGACCGGGGAACGGGCACGAAACAAAGGAGGCGCAGGCCGGTTAGGGATAGAAAACTGAACCTGTCCCCCACGGCGGGAGACAGGAGGTGCACGGTCCGTCCCTCGGATGCCACCCCCCCC